AGAGGAAGGAAAAGTGGCACGACAGTGGGAGACGACAGACAGAACACCGATATTGTTTCCATGCGTGTGTGCGCGCAGCGTCACGGACGGTTCAGCGGTCTTGCACGCGCATGAGAAAAGACTTGCAATAGAAGCGCTCGAGCAAGAAAGCCGATGCCCCGTAAGCTGTGGCCATCCAACCGTCAACTGGGGCAGGGCAGGTGAGGCATGCAGAAAATCATGATCCGCACTCTGCTAGTGAAAGTTACGCGGTGGAAGCAGTCTGGCGGAAGCTGTGGTGGAATCTATGTGGTGCAAGCTACGTGATGCAAGAGTAAAAGAAGAAACAACGGCACAAACATAATTTTGTTGGCGCTCCGCGCGGATTCATCGGATCTGCGCCCCTTGCGCGCGGAGCGCGCCAGGGGCGGCGCCGGAGGCGCCGCCCGGGGGTCCAGCGCAGATCTAAGAAACCCGCGCGGAGCGCAAAGAAGTTTATGCTTATGTCGTTGTTGTTTTCATCTTCGACATGTACTGCAAGCTCTGAGATGCAGTCCACCTAGTGCAGGAGGTGTGGTGCGAGCGGTGTGGTGCACCCAGCACACGCAGCGGCCACGAAGCGGCCACGGGCGCCAACCCAACGGGAGCCTGGCGAACCCCCCGCCCCCTCCTCCCCCTCCCCCACTCCTGGAGAAACCAAGAGGAGGTGGATGAGGAGGAGGAGGAGGAGGAGGAGGAGGAGGAGGAGGAGGAGGGGGAGGAAGGGGAGGAAGAGGAGGAGGAGGACGGTACCAATACCGCTACTCCCCTGACCTCTCCCAGGGTGCGTTCGGACCAGAATGTCGAGGCGAATCGAGCGGTGGCGACGAGGGCCTCCCAGGAGGCCCCCAAGAGGGGGGAAAGCGAGGGAAGAGTAGCGGTATATGGGCACCTGTTCCTCCTCGGATCTCCCCGTCCTGGATGTGCTCCTCCTCTAGCCTCGGCGCCTCGGGGCGACGCGCCCCGCTGGCTTCGTCCCTGGGGCGCCCCTGTACTGCTCTGAGAGCTGTCCTGGCGCCCGTGGCCAGTGTCTACGCCTTTGTGGGCCCCGGAAACGGCAGGGCCGTTTTTTCACCGTTTCCAAAAAAATATCCAAAGAAAATGGAAACGAACAAAAAAAAACGGCGACCGGAAAAGACAAAAAAACGGCTCCAGGATCGGAACTGGAGCCGGAACCAGTCAAAAAACGGCGACGGAACCGGTAAAAAAACGGCGTCGGAACCGGCAAAAAAACGGCAAAACAGAACCGGTAACAAAAACGGCCCTGTCGTTTCCAGGGCCCACTAAGGTCTACACCATGCCGTTTTCCTCGGTCAGCGCCTGCTGTGAACCGGTTGGGGTGCAACTCCCGTTCTCTGCGTATTTGGCGAGTCGAGTGCCCTTGTGGCTGTACCCTGGCCAGCTAGCGGTCGAGTCAGACGAGCAATCCCAAGATTCCCCCCTCCTCCTCCTCTTCCCCCTCCTCCCCCCCCCCTCCTGCACTCCGTCCCCCCTTCTCCTCCTGCTCACAAGCGTTTACTCGCTGCCGAAGCCCCCCCGCTGGAAGCGCCCCGAGGAGGGCGCCATTGAAAGCGACTGAAAGAAAACCAGTTTCGGAGCGGGGCTGGACGCGACTTCTCCCGCGCGCTCCCCGGGGAGGTGCAGGGGGGGGGGGGGGGGGGGCGAAAAACACATTGCTGTGGCACACCAGCTCTTCCGCCCCATCCCTAGCAGATGGAAAAGAGGGGGCCCGAGGGGGTAGGGTGGGGATTTTCCAAATCACCAGCCTACATCAACATGACTCTTTGTCAATCTCTTCCTCCTCCAGCTCCTCGTCATCCTCGTCCAGGAAACCACCCAAAAATCTCCATCATCTCCTTCCTCCTCCTCCTCCTCCTCCTCCTTCTTCCCTCACCTCCTCCTCCTCCAGCTCCCAAGTCATCCTCGTCCGAGAAACGCCCAAAAGCCCCGATCATCCCTCCTCGTCCCGACGGGGGAAAAGGAGGACGTCAACGACGACGATGAAATGCGAAGTGCCCCAGGTCGACAGTGCCAACGACGATCGCAAGGCTGCCTGCGAGCAGCAGGGCGCGAAGCGTCCTCCATCTCCTCGTTCCGACGGGGACGAGGAGGACGACGACGAAGGCGCCAATCGTGAGACACCTTCCTGCGAGCAGAGGGACGTGAAGAGCCATGCTCCTCCTCCTCCACCTCACCATTCTCCTCCTCCTCCTCCTCCTCCTCTTCCTCCTCCTCCTCCTCGATCTACCTTCTACCCGCGTAGCTCCGCTGTCATGTTCTGTTCACTACGGGGTCCCTAGCACAAGGCTGGTCCTTGAACCTCAGTCGTTTCTTCACGGTTCCAGCGCCAGGGGAACTGCCGCAAGACACGGCGAAAACCAATACATGCTGTCTCCGCAACAGTTTGGAGGTCTGAGCTCCGAGGAAGGGGAAGAGGACGACGCCGACGTCGACGAGCGCGAGGCCGCGTCCTGCGAGTAGAAGGACGCGAAGCGCGGGCAGCGCAGCCGGAGCGCGAGCCCGTGCAGCACCAGCGCCATCGGCGGGAGCAGCCGCGCGTGCAGGGCGTGCATTTTCCACTCCTCCGGGGATCGGGGGAGACCAAAGAGGTACCTAATTATCGGGGAGACGTAAGACTCGGGTACGGGGACTCGGGTGGGCCTGACGAGGCCATCACGAAAATGACGAGGCCTGCTCTGAAGATTGACGCGAACTCCTGCTGCAGACGTCCCACGAAACCTGGACCGCCAAAAGTCCAGGACGCGCTCGTCAAAAACGGTCGGCAGACCCGAGCTCCGGCTTACTCGAGTCTCACGCTCCCCCGAACCTGCACTGCTGCTGTCCGGCCCTCTCCCAGGGGTGCGCCCGCACCAGCACCTCGGGGCGAATCTCCAGCGGTGGCGACGCGGGTCCACGCAGGAGGCCCCAGAGAGAGGAGAACGGGCGAAGGGTGCGGTCGGACCTAGGCCAGAGGAACATCCCTCAAGAGCACGAGACCCTCCGTCGGCCTTGACACACGGAACATCAAAGGGTACCCTCCCCGGGATGCACAGGAACATCCAACGAACACGGAAAACACTAGGGTACGAGCGCATTTCTTTAATTCGCGGCCATAACGGGCGTTCGGGGGGGGGAGTGGGGGTGGGAGACGGGAGGGGGCATGACGTAACGCCCCCCCCCCCCCCCAGAATGTGGTGCCAGACGCACTGCGGCAGTGCCGGGGACGCACTTAGGTGGGGAGCGTTACTCTATGGGGGAGGATGATCGGCAGGGGGCATAACGCGCGTTATGGCCCACAGGTAAAAAATAACACTCTCTACGGCAGGTTCGTGTCGTGTCGACCCGGGCGTGGCATCCTGACACCGCGGGGATCGTTCAACCTTGAATGATCGGCCGCTGCCGCAACGTCCTATCGTTCAACATGGACCTGTGCTGGGTCGCCGGCGGCGTGCAACGTTGAACGCCGGCGGCGGGGTCGCCGCCGGCCGACGCGACACGAACCTGCCGTACCCTCCTCGATCCGACATCGATGTTATACCTCGGTCCGGCTGTATCGGTCAGGGCACCTCTTCCCAACCCTGATCATTTGATACTGGAGTTCTCCAGGCGCGACCGACGAGACGGGTCGCTGCCGATGTTGCTTCAAATTCCGGTATCGGGCGCAACCGATTTGCTTCAGAATCGGTCGCGAACGCTCGCTGACGACCGATCGGTCGCGATCGGTCGCCACCAGCCGCGACCGATTTCGAGATCGGTCGCGACCGATTTGATCGGTCCCTACCGATCGCGACCGACAAAAATTGGCATCCGATGATCTGGGAAGCGGGGGATCATTGCCGTCGCTCGGACGTCCACTTCCCTGTGCTTTTTTCGATTTCGTGCGTTTTTTTTTCTGCTCGATGGTCCAGGATCGTCCTCGATCCTGGACCTCGATCCTGGATCCTAGGATCGTCCTCGATGGTCCTCGCCGAGGGAGAAAAAAAAAAACCACACACACACACACGTGCGAGCGATGCCAGGGGAGCGGGGTGAGCGTCGCCCCGGCTCGCCCGCCTCGCCCCGCGCCCCTCACCCTTTTCGGCCGCGGCGCCGGGCCCGCCCCGCGTCGTGGTGGGCCCCCTCCTCCGCGGCAGGCCCTACCCCCGCCCCCCCCCCCCGCCCTCGTGACGAACGAACAACACACACCCATACCCATAGGGGAGTCGTTGGGAGGAGGACTGGCTATGGGTATGGGTGCGGGTTGTCGGACCTTGGGGAACGCTCCCGTTCGAGCGGGGACCCCCATCCGACAACACGCACCCAATAGCCCTCTCCGACCCCCCTATGGATATGGGTGTGTGTTGTTGGTTCGTCACCTCGGGCGATTGGCAACAAAAATACCCCTAACCCTTCGGGAGGGGAGCCGAAGTTGGGAGGGCCAGAGACATGACGGAGGAGGTTTTCGATGAGGATGCCTTCGATAAGGAACCCAGAGTCGCGCGACCGACGGAAGGCCAAACGCGGGCCACCCACCTCGCCTCGAGACAGTAGGGAATGCGCCCGGGTCTGGGTCCAGGAAGGCGTTTCTTATCCAATGCCGCCGCCGTAGGGATAGAGGGGATCTGTTCTGCGGTCGTATCAGACCAAACCGCTGAGACTTCTTATCCCTGGTGCAGAGACGGGGACGTAGGTGAGGCCACGTCTTCACTATGTTATTAGGGTTAGGGGGTGATTTATCCTAGGTGATCGAAGCTCCACTCCTGCCACGGGCCCACGCCTTGGAGCCATGCGGGGGGAATCGTCGCCGAGGGGGCCGGTCTGCTTGGGGTCGGTTAGGCCTCCCCCGGAACTCTCCAACACGTCCTCATCCTCCTGATTATCATGCCTTTTCACCTCCACCTCCACCTCCACCTCCACCTCATCCTCCTCCTCCTCCTCCTCCTCCTCCTCCTCCTCCTCCTCCTATCCCCCAGGAGGGAGGCGAGGGCTGGGAGGAGATCTTG